TTTCCATCTGCCACGGCTAAATTGAATTTCTGCACATGCGGACAATTAAATCTCATATTTATTATTTTCGTTTCCTTCCTATTTATCTTCATATTAAACTCTATACTTAAGGATACATGCCGTGGGAAATATTTATTGTTACATCAACAATATTAATGATAATACTGTTTCATTCTAATTTATTAAATAGCTAGTCTAATTATACATATTGAAGAACAAAACAAATATACTCCGTCAATTATTACATTATATTTGTTCTTTGAATGTATCAAAAATGTATAATTTTGATTCTGATAATTATAAGTAAGTAAAAAAATCATCAAAGGAGTCTGTTATGAAGTCCGTAGTAATAAATGTCAAATGAATTGCATATTTTCGAAATGATTAACATACGAATGGATGGATGTGATTTCAATTCGAGGGCTTCCTCGGTCGGACTGTTGAAAGAGGTTTCTGTTCGCGGCCGCGGCGATAAATGAAATATTTTCCACTTGAAAATCTATTGGATACTTTTACTCCTTTTGTCGGCGCTCGTATCTGTTTTTGCATAATTTCTAAACTTTATCATCTATTAATTGGGTATGTTCTAATGTGTACTAAAAGAGAGTCATTATGCAGTTGCTTATCACTGCAACACATATACATAAATACTGACTTTATTGTGTTTGTGCAACATGTGCTATCTAAGATTTTATGTGTATCCAAACCAATTGCGTCCAGCCCTACTGGAACCATTAAATCCATTTGGTTTGTAGACAATTCCCCCTCTAAAGACATTATAAATTATATTTTTGTTTTTTTTTCTTCTTCTTTCAAACCTTTTGGTCTACGATCATGTTACCAGTTTTAAAGAGAGCATTTAACACTTGGAAGTATCGTGGAATGTCTTCAGCTATGATCTTCGTTATTTATTGGCGGTTTCTCGTACCTCACAATCTCAAGCATATAATCTGCTTCCTCTGAATTCCATTGTGAGTTTCACAAGTGTTACTCTCTTGACTTTTACGCTGTGGCGACAATTAGGTACTCTTCGGAGAGATTTCAATGGTACCCGAAGAAACCTATTGTAATCTCGCCAAGCCGGAAATGGTTGGACCTTAAATATGAAAAAGCCCTAGAATAACAAAAGCAATAACTGAACATCGAGAAATTTGTTGTTATTTGATACGATTTCAATAGAAAATAAATGTAGCAATCAGTAATTTCCTGTTGTTCTTTGAACCTATAATTTTAGGAAACCGTTTTCACGCTTCCGGAACTGCGTGTAAAAGCTAAGATAGATAAGAAATCCTATTTTGGATTGTTTGGAATGTTTATGGCTGCAAGAGCGGTGTTTGATAGAGCGACCAATTTAACCTTTTCGCACCTCTAACTGTAAACGAGCCGAGTTTCGTGAAACTGGGGGGCGTAAAGTATTCCATATCTCTGCATTGTAATGGACATCGGGGGCCTTCTTGGTCGTTCTTTCTTTCTCATTGTTGCTTTCTCGGAATTGCTTCGTGTCCTTTTCTTTCCCTCTGAGAGGATGCCTCCCCGAGACGCGGCAACAGTCCATCCTCCTCTTCTCATTTTCATCCGAAAGAAGGGACCGTGTAACAGGTTTCTTTCCCATCGGATGTTCTCATGGTGTCGCATGGCATCTGGTTTGCACGTCTTCTTTCTAAACGTTGGTTCCTTTTACAATTTTATGAGAATCTCAATTCCACTTGCTTTCAATTTTATTACCAATTTAAATCCGACATCTCACATAATTAATTGTCCATTTTGTTAATACTCAATAAATCATAAATATTCATAATTTAATAATATTAATACATTTATTGAAATAATTACATATTATTTTGAACTGTAATTAATTAAGTATAATTTTCTTTTTAAATAAAAAAAAGAAACATTGATATTCTGATATTGATTACGTGATCTAATAAATAGAAACTATATAGGAACCAATTACTTGGAAAATAACATATATTATAAGTTAATCAAGCATCACAATAGCAATTTTGTACGTAACATAGGATAAGCCATTATTTTCCGCCTTGGTTGTATAACATTTTCAATTAAAGCTTACTATGAACCAAAAAGTATTCTTTGAAATGAGCGGTTTATGTAAATAATGCAATATTAACTTAAGTAATACCATCTCTTTGTTGTCAAATCTTCAGTAATTTCGTTAATGATTAAATAATGAGCGTTCTTCAGAAAATGAACAAATAATTTAATTGATTTGAAACGACCCAAACCTTTTTTTCTGGTTCCAAATCATGGTACATTTGTGATGTTCTTGATGATGTGTATTATAATAGTTCTCTACAAATATACGTGTGGGAAATAACAAATGGTGATAACATATATATATATTTATGTAATAAAATCCTGCCTGGGAATCTGAACGGAAGGACAAAGACCCAACGACGCGAGTATTGCACGTCCATTGTCGGTAACAACAACCTCCTGAGCTGCACACGGACGTCGCGAATCAGACAAATTAATTTGTACAGTTTAACGGAGGATTAGAAACGGATATTGGTTTCGATGGTAATCCTGAGCAGGGCGCCGTTTATGAAACACTTAATCTATTCCACTCCCATTTTCGGATTCCATTCAAGCACACTTAGTGTAACTAGAACTAAACGACGCAACTTTTCTAGTGCTCTTCTTAATCCGCTTCCTCATTACTCGGGCCCGTCACTAATTTATTAAGTCTGATAGTCCGTAATTTCAGAAACAAAGACTGCCTTTGACAACGGCATAATCTAACGAAGGTTTTCCGGTCCGAAGAAAAAAATATGAATCTTTATACGTACTTCTCAACTTGCTTTAATTGCTCCGATTTGTTTTTCTTTACATAGTTGCTCGTTCAAATCCTCTTTAATAGTAATTGAAAGTACGAAGCTCGAACTGATTTTATGAAAGCTACAATTTCCTGCACAATCTGATACATTGCAAACGGATATGCGACATGCCACCATTGTTTTATTTTTATTTTTAAATTAATATTTCCTTCTACAATAATATAATAATAATAATGAGAAGAGGTCATTCCACGACTTTCACATTGCGACTCCACGCAAGAAATCTTTGATCGCATAAAATCATTTTAAAACAAGACACGATGCTTTAAAGTAATTACGTTCGGTTCGCAATTTCATCAGTTAACTTTTTTCGAACGTATTGTTATTCTTTTCTCATACGATTAAACAATTCAACCTTGCACAAGACGTTTAATTCCCTATTAGTCATTTTATGTTAATTTTCATAACGAGCTTCGTGTGAATTTTTGTCGCAATCCTACCTATACAAAGAATAAATTACCTATAAATTAACTCAAGAAAATAAGAGGAATGACACAAACATTCTTTGAGTATTTTCATTGTTTTTTTTTTCAAGTAATAAAGATCTGCCGTCGGAAAATGCTGGTCTAGTTTCTAACTGCAGATATATGTAGAAGTAGTTATAGTTGTATCTATCTATTTTTTTAATTAAATTCGGATCGTTTTTCTAAAGATTACTAATAAAAAAAAGTGATGGGAATCATAGATTTGTCTGTAACGGAAATCCAAAAGTCAGATGTCAAGTAATTTGAATGCAAATTCATGAATCCAATGACGTGAATGTAACGCAGAATAACAAACAACAAAACATATAGTTTCTTGCTGTATGTGTATCTGTAATGTCTATTCAATTTAAAGTCCGCTGGATTTCCTGCATTATTCAACAGCTGATAAGGGTAGGGGTATATTGTAAGGCGCAGCACGCGTATTTGTAAATAATGTGTCGCGATGAAAATCTCCACTTCTAGCCTTTCTCAGAGGTAATGCATACCCTGTACTTTCTTGGAACAGCTATTAAATTGATTAAGTTGCAGAGGAAACATCGGAGCTGGTTCGGCAACGAAAGGAGTTTATGTAACCGTGCATCATCGGCATTACGCAAAAGCGGTCCACATATAAATTTCCTTTAATCAATCAGCTTTCACAAGACAAATTTGCAAGGTATAACATCCTACGTTGTTTCTCAATAATTATAGATTTATTTCGGTATTGTTACATTCTTGGTACTTGGGATAGTTACGTTGGTTGTGCGAAAAGTAATAACTTTGGATTGATAGCGACATTGTTCTGTTGTTGTTTGTTGTCGAAGCACTGGGTAGTAATTTGTAATATTCCTTGATTTATGTGAATTAAAGTGGTGAGGAGGCGTGGGTACAAATTTTCGTGTCGTGTTGGCTTTCAGGAAGGCAGGGAGACAGCTCTAAAATTAGCTTTCGTGTTCGTCCCAAACTTACTTTAAAATTTATTTCGAAACGCATCATGCGAACGCGCCCAAAGCAAGTTTTATTTTCGATGCAATTATTTAAATAGGTGCAAACCGTTCGCCCCTTACACACATCTCGTCATTTGATCGCAACGAAAAACACGTCGTCTATTTTCAACCGAAATGATTGAATCCTTTTGATTCACTTTCGAAAAGTTTATTTTTAATTATCCATTAATGTTCTCAAGAATGTTTACAAATTATTACAAGCACATTTTATTATACAAGAATATTATCTTAGACCTTTACATTCAAGTA